ATTTTCTTCTTATTTCCAGTTTGATTTTCCAAATTGTATAATACTCTTTGGTCATAATATTATAAGGAAGAAATATTTTTCAAATGGATTACAAATGGATAGTAAAATAGTAATTTTTATTGGTTAAGTCACAAGAAACAAATACTAAACAAATCAACTACAAAAACACAATCTTAATGAAGATGCTGTATACATTTCTTAAGCCATAGTCGCTATTTCCATTTATTTCATTCGTCCATAAAGTATTAATTCAATTATAAATTAATTCCAAACGATATTTATTTCAATTAAGATAAACTCAAATGGAGAAAACCAAAATTGTACTTCTTTTAGCTAAATTATAAATACAGGTTTTCAGAGTAGTCGTTGTGTGCTGTATACAATTAATAGTTTTTGTATATAGCGAGTTTTTGGTGTATGTATTGTAAGAAAGAGGATGAGCACTGAACCCACGGTAATCATCTAAACACTCTGTTTTCTGTTCACATTACACTTAGTCAACCAGGTGTGAACATAGTTGAACAGTAGCATAATCATAAATTTTAAACTCTTTTCCCAGCTGATGTGAGCTACATGAAGACAGGTAGGGCTGACTTCTGAGAATAGACGGTAACCTACTAGCCACACACGCTATCAGTAATCAGTCAATGAAAAGGGGTTATGAAGATGGGGGAGATAAGAAGAGATGTTTGTGTTTCAAAGGATCAATGTAGCAGTATGTAAAAAAAAAACAAAGTTTGTAAAGATTCTATGATTAAATCATGTATTTTTTTAATTTAACTCAATCTTTGATTGTTCGCCTTTTGCAATGTAATTTATCCTCTATAGTTTTCCTAGACTTTGTTGTTCACTTTTAAAAGTAATTATTTTCATGTTGTGACACTTAGTTTTAACTTTCTCTTCTTCTAAATCTTTGTTTGTCAGTATTACACGTTTACACGTCTAGACACACATTAGCAGTCTTATTTCGCACTTTTACCTACCTAGAACAGTTAAGCGAGCGTAAATTTATTTTAAGGGAGGTATTGAAACTGCAGCGTATCCAAACCTATCAAGCTTTGGAAGATTGATTTGAAACTCTATGTCGACGTTAAAGACGTAGGGAGGTTTCAAAGGATCTTCAGACAGCTTCGGGCAGACATTCTCTATCCTGGATGTTGTCTCCTCAAACTAAATATTCTGTGCTCTCAAACATTACCTTCAGTCTTGTTATAAAAATGATGAGTGATATCTACAATAAATGCATATATCAAAAATATATTTTTTCTGTAAAAAAACTATAAAGACCTTTAACAATCAGAGTGGACAGTAATGGAAACAATTAAAATACATTTTTAAGGCATGATTTATTTCCAGAACAGTTGGTAATAATATTTGTATACACTATAAGCTTTATCCAGTTTAAAAATTATCTGTACCAGATTATATTTTCCCCAACAATAATCAAATTACTTTTTTTAATATGACTTAACTGTTAATTCTAATTTTAGAGGTTTTCACAGGAAATTACATACATAGCGCTATCACGTTTGAGTAGTTAATATGAATATACATGTTTTGTTTGTTATTTTTTTACTAATTAATCCAATATTAGACTTCAAAAATAGAATGATAGTGCTGAAAAATCTATAACCAATCTAAAGCTCTCATTATTTATTGTCCTATTTAAAAGGTAAAATAGATTAACAATGACATTGAAACACATCTAAACATCTATATATCTAGTCTGGTAACATTGAAGTATCATACCAAACCCGTTATAGTATTTTACTCATTATAGATTGCATACAAGTGAATGAATTCATTTTCCAATTCCAAAATGAGAAAAAAATTTTGTTTTGGCAAACATCAAACAACATCAATATACAATACCTGAATATATTTTCTATGCTCACGAAATTTGTAATATAGGCCTATAGGTATTGAATTTATAAACTCTATTAATATACAGGGTATACAGTATTATTATTAAAGTGCTAAGTTAGTAATACTTTGGTAGAAAAGTTGTATGTGGTAGTTCGTCTCAAAATACCAACATAAATGTGTTACTAAGTCTCCTCTACCTTAACATAACTGATGTGTATAAATCTCAATTGAAAATGTTCGAAGAATAAAGATTGCTTAAGAAATTGTATGTTAAACAGTGCGCAAAATTATTTACTGTAATCTCTTTATTTTCACCTACCGTCGTTTACTAGAGTTTAACGATTTATAAATCGACAATATACACTAATCGTCAAAAATCATATTTTGAGCAAAGTTTGATTTTACTTTCTTTAATTTAAGAGCACTGCAACAAACTACATTATGATATATAGCTTTATAGAAAACCTTAAGTGATCGTAAGTACATGGTACTAAATGTATACTTTGATATAGTATATGTATCAAGTTCATAGCGTATAATATAAATGAGTTAACATAACGGAGTTGTAACAACCTTAGATGCATATTTTCACAATGGTGTTTGTCAATAAGTGTTTATAGGCTGAATGTGAAAATAAATTGAACCCTAAAATCCCACCCTAACTTGGCTGCAGTCTTTAAACCTAGCAACCGTTCAGTATTACTACCACAAACACTGCTATAAAATCTAAAGACGCTATCATATACACAAGCGGGCTACAAACTGATGCCAGGCGTTGGTAATATAATATAATAAACTCGTTGAAATGGTAATACCCCTCCCAGTGGTAATGTAGAAACGTACTAAAGGAAAAGACTTTCACAGGAACACAGTTATATATTTACTCGGGGATCACTGTATCAAACTTAGCATGTAAAACGACAAGAAGTCAAGCAGACACAGTAAAACTAAGCCAATATTACTTTTCAGCTATGAATTTTAGTATTATAAACATAATAAAGTAAAATTCATTCAAAACTCAATGATAGCGAATTTACTTATAGGGAAGTAGCTATTGCCGGGTGGCACGGTAATGCCTAGGCCCGGGACCGATTTAACTTTTTCATTTTGATGTCCCCAGAGGCCAAAAACACCATTCGTTCAAATTTGTATATATGTTAAAGATTTATATATATATATATATATATATATATATACATCCATGAACACGATAACTTAAGTAATTTTTGTCTGATATTAATGAAATTTGGTTTGAAGGTGTAAGGCGGTAAACTCGAATGAGTTCGCAACCAGCATGATCGGACCATGGAAACGGGGTTTTACGGTTTTATGGTGTAAAAATTGGTTTTTCTAATTTTTTACTCCCAAAACAAAAAATTTCCCAATTTCTCTCTAGACATTTTTAAAGAACTTAAAAAAAATAATTTTGTACATCAAAGTGTTTTTGTACGGTTATTGGTAACGGAGAAAATTCAAAAAAATTGTAAATTTAAAATGCCCATGTTATTCTTATGGAAAATATTGTAAAATGTTGTAGTTTGATTGTTTATGGATATATTTGGATCAAACTTGGCAAATTTATTTACTTTATACAAAGCTATTAATATTTTACAAAAAAAAATAGACTTTATTAGTTTCCTTGTAGCAGCAAACCTAGGTACTCATTAAACCTAATGTTATAATTGAATTTAAAATCAATTCAGACAAATTGAAATTCGCTTAGGTTTGCTGTGGGTCTTTTTGTGCTGTGGTGATATTTTTTTAAATTTATTGTTGTGACAAGTTGCTCTGTATTTCTACATGGGAAAAAAGGTCAGCCACACCTTATTTAACCAACATATATACTTACAACATCAGATTACTTACATGATTGTTTCAATACTACAAGAACAGCCGTAGCATGTTTTATCATCATGTCAATGCATTAAAGCTGAATCATTTGTGTGACTGTATATTATTTATATTGATTCTCTGTGGTCTACTTTTAGTCCACACGACAGATCATCCAACTGACAGTGGTAGGTTCTGGGACTGACACTGCATGATCACATTAAACAGATTTCAAAAAAGTGGGTTCTGGAATTTTTTGTGGCGTAATTTATAAAAACACTGCTACCTTTGTCCTAATATTCTTTTATTGGGTATGAATTTCTTATTTTTCACATCAATAACTTTTTTCTAGAAGTGTTCAAAGCTTGTAACATGTAGCTTTCAATAATTGCTCTCACTACTCAGCCTACGGCGAAGTTCGTTACGTTAGAAGGCTTGTACCTTGAATTTTTCTACTCGTGTCGTTAACACTATTTACGCGAGTTGCGTACACTACTTTACCTACGACAGTGTTTTATTAATAAAATTCACTACTCATAACTTCCAAGGTTTTCGTTTATAACCTCTTGCCACTGACAGTGATGCAATGATACATTTAACCAAACACTAATTTCACCAATCAACAATAAAATTGGCCTGAACAGCTGATTAGTTGAAGTTCAAATCATTACAATTTTACTTTTTCTCTCTCAATACTTGAACCTCATTGGTCCGTTACCCGTGTTGTTATGAGTAAAACTATGCTGTTATGAAAGTCAACAATGCTGTTATTGGAAACTTTTCAATTCCAAGAACTGAACTGAAAAGGCTACTTTAAAAAATGGTCATCAGGAAAAGTATTTTTAGTCTTATACAGTTTTTTTTATTTTGTATTGTATTATTTTTTATGTGATTTCGTATATTGGTTTAGCCTATCATGGTAGCGAATAGAATGAAGAATGCAATCTGAAAATTCTCATTATATCAAATCAATTGTTTTACTCAAATTACATAAATAGCGTTCGAATAAGTTCACCAATGTGACAAGTTGAATAAAAGCCGCCGGTGATATCTTATAATTTTCAGTTATTACTGTTTCGCGATTATTTATACATTAACATCACAGACCAGTATTCTGTGTCAGTGGTTAGTTTTTTAAAAGCAAAATATTAGGCCCCCCAACCAGACTAAATGTTAATGCAGATTGTTGTTTATTTTATTATTTTTTGGTTTGATTTTTGATTGAATTAAAACCTGTAAGTAAAATATGATTATTTGTTTATTCAAACGGATAATTAATGGAATCTTAAATGAAAGAATACAACCATAGGCTATGACATTTTATTTCCTGATAACACATTATTGTGTTGGAAAATGTGATTAGACCTATTTTAGGAATAGATTTTCCGTAGGCCTATCTTCTGAATAACATCGTTATAGTCTTGTTATTTAGGTTTGAAGTCTCCAACGGTCAGTGTTTTTGCAGTATAGTATTCGTTACCTTCCAAATCTTCCAGTTTGATTTCTCTTTCATATTTTTTATTATTCTCGAGCCCAATTATCGTTTTATATCCATAGGTGGTTGTTGAAGGTGTGATTTGTAAGCTACTGCGGCTACTGCAAGAGGTCACTCTAAATCTTTCCACTACTAAGCCAGAGGTTTGGACAAGTGATGCTATTACGATTGTATCTTCTGTACCTTGGTCTTTATGGCAATAAGCTTTACATTGTATTTTAAGTAAAGGTCCAGAGTCCAGAGTCTTAGTTTGTGTACTTCTTCTTGAAAAATGATAATTTTTCATGTTTTCAAAGTATTCCAAGTCCACTCCAACTCCACTTGGCAAAATATTTACTGAAAATGAAAATATTTACTGAAACACCATATATGTTAGTATAAAACTACAATTCACATATTATTATACGGCATGTACGTTGAGGAAAGCGAATCCTTTTTGTCAGAAGTTAGGCGGATAAAAATATACTATAGATTGAATTCATGTTCAATATACAGGGTGGCTGAAAAGTAACTTGCAACCCCCCTTAACTTTTCAACCATTTGAGATATTTGAAATCGGTTTGCGGCAACCTTCTTAGATATGAGGGGCTACAATAATTAAGGTCAATTTTGAAAATTTTGCCCTTAGGAGTAGCGGGGGTAGGGGGTAGCTTAAACTTTTCAAATGACAAGTATAGTCAAGTTTGGTATCATTTTACAGGTCTTGACGAAACATAAACATTGACATAAAGAAAACCAAAATCGGCTCACTAATAACAAAATGGCGCCCTAAAACGTTTCAAATCCAAATAACTATGAGGGTGACAAAAAAATTAACTTGTACCCTCTTTAGCTATTTAAATATTAGAGATATTTGAAATCGGTTTGCGGCAACTTGTTTAGAAATGAAGGGCTACAATAATTATGGTCAGTTTTGATAATTTTGCTCTTAGGGGTAACGGGGGTCTGTTTCCTTCCCTTCCCATAGCATTTTAAGATTTCAGATGCCTTAATCCAATCGTCATAAACTGTTCCCGCACTCCGGACTGCTCTCCTTTACTACTTCCTTCACCACTTCCTACGTCACAGACCTTTTTCCCTCCCTTTCCATAGCATTTTAGGATTGCAGATACCTTAATCCAATCGTCATAAACAGTTCCCGAACTCCGGACTGCTCGCCTGTACTACTTCCTTCACCACTTCCTACGTCGCAGACCTGTTCCCCTCCCTTTCCATACCATTTTAGGATTGCAGATGCTTTAATCCAATCGTCATAAACAGATCCCACACTCCAGACTACTCGCTTTGACTACTTCCTTTACCACTTCCTACGTCGCGGTCCTGTTTACCTCCCTCCCCATATAATTTTTAGATTGCAGATACCTTAACCTAATCTTCAAAAGCAGTTCCCACACTCCGTACTACTCGCCTGGACTACTTCCTTCACCACTTCCTATGTCGCGAACTTGTTTTCTCCCTCCCCATAGCAGTTTAAGATTTCAAATATCTTAAATTAATCGTCATAAACAGTTCACACACTCCGGACTACTCTCATTTACTAAATCCTTCACCACTTCCTACGTCGCGGACCTGTTTCCCTCCCTTCCCATATCATTTTAAGATTGCAGATACCTTAATCTAATCTTTAAAAACAGTTCCCACACTCCGGACTACTCACCTTGACTACTTCCTTCACCACTTCCTACGTCGCGGACCTGTTTCCCTTCCATCCCATAGAATTTAAGATTGCAGATACCTTAAAATTATCTTCAAAAACAGTTCCCACACTCCGGACTACCCACCTTCACAACTTCCTTCGCCACTTCCTATGTCGCGGACATGTTTCCCTTCCCATATCATTTTAAGATTGCAGATACCTTAATCTAATTGTCATAAACAGTTCCCACACTCCGGACTACTCGCCTTGACTACTTCCTTCACCACTTCCAACGGCATGGACCTGTTTCTCTCCCTTTACATTGCATTTTAAAATTTCAGATACCGTAATCTAATCATCATAAACAGATCCCACACTCCACACTGCTACCCTTGACTACTATGTATCGAGTTCAGTTTAATCTTTGCTTAATAGTAACAACTGATGTTTTTCCTTTTGTACTGTATTTTGTTTTGCTAGTATACTGTGGATAGAGAACTTCTGCGCATGCGCAAGCTGAGGTGCCCGTGGGTACAGAACGCCACGTTTTGTCTTAAAATGTAAACAAAATGACAATAATGGTGGAATGTTTTCTCATAAGGACCATGTTAAATTTTCAAAAGTTTGTAGGCCTACTCATATTATGGCGAATATAGATTTTTCCTGGCTATACCACTGGTCTAGAACTTATTTTTGACACAGAACTTAGTTATTCCGTAAATATAAACGTTTTTGTTAGAGCCGATTCCCAGATCGAGTTGACAAGTATTCAAACTTTACTCGTATTATATATAGGAATGTTACTAAGACACAACGAGGTATCCGCCGTTTCACCGTGTTTGGCGTGTAGGGGAGGCAGTGCGAGAGAGACAGAAAAATACAAAAACGTAAACATAAAGCAAACTAATTTGACAGCTGATGCTAGTTCACAACTTTAGTATTTGAACGTGACTGTACCGACGGTACAGTACCGTATATCGAGGCGTAGTTGGGGAAAGCTCTCAGTGCGCATGCTCCAGCGAGGCGCCACGCACCGTGACACTATCTGTATTTTCAGACCACGGGGGTTTTCCCAAAACGTATTTTTTTTACTATGTAGATGTAATAATAATTTATTTATAAGGAACTGAAACCATAACTGAAACTTAATTTTCAATCTTTCTAGGCATAAAACTAATGATATACTTTCAAGGTATCCTTCTTAACTCGTTGAGCTTAGGACAACAAGTCTTTAATCTATGCAACAATTAAAAACCAGATTTTTTAAATACATTTTTATTGCTGTGTTATAGTTTAATGTGGGATCCTTGTTTATTAGTTTTATGTCATTTTTTACGATGAAGTCAATAACGTTGCTAGTTATGGGGCATTATTACAATAGAATTACCCTTATCAACTTTCAACATTATAGCGCCGTTTTGTGTTAACCTTTCTTTTATACTCATAGTAATAGGAACCTTTCCATGTTATAGATTAACGATTTGGGCGTGTGATTCTTTCTCATGACAATTCTTTATTTTCTGTTTACTAAATAACGTAATTGGTAACGTTATTCAGATAAATTTTATGGCTGCTTCAGTATTAATGAGTTCGTCAAATATGAAGATTTTGTTTGTTATTGTTTGTTGGATTGGTATATGGATGCCACCCGCCACGGCCGGTGAACCTACAAAAAATGTTGTCTTTCTGTAAATACCTGTACCGCTCGTTCAATGTATATATGTTCGTGTGTATGTTTTGTGTGAACTGTTAGTAGTTTTAACCTAACGACGTCCATTGGACTGAATATTTCAAACTGGCCCGCCTGATGATGGCATAACTCCGTGCCGAAACCTCGGTCATATTAGCCGACTGTCGTTAAACTGGTAACTGAAGGTATTTAAACCATTATATTAGCAAATAATTCTTTATGTTTATAATAATTATTCTCATCCTTATGGGGCAGCTGAAGCCAGTTTTATTGTTAGTTCTGTCCGGTGCACTGTAGAGGTCGTGTTTTGTTTACAATTTATTTCTTGTTATATCAGTCATTCAAAACCTCGATTAACCAAATAAAATTATCTAAACAATAACTCGCCTCCTAATTAACCACGCCCTCGCACCTGCACCCAGGCAAACGAATCGGAAGCGTGATCCCGTGTGCAGGGACGAGGAGTGGCTCACAGCTCTACCTAACAACAAGAAAAACCATGGAGGAAAGTTAAAATACAACTGGCCATTTAAAAGAAACGAGCTGTAATAAACAATTAAAAACAATCAACAACAAAACTCAACAAATTTAAGATTCCCATCTATCCTACTAGCTCACAGCCATTTCTTTAATTATCAAAAAACATTTTCAGTAAAGAATTTAATAATTTTTTTTTCTAAATAAATTACCAAAATTACAACAATTGTTTAAGATAGGTATTCCTTTTTTACGAATTTCCCATATAGGTAATAGGTAATAGATTTTAATAAGTATATATATAGCTCTTAACTCACCTACACCAAAATCTGCCTTGTCATTCAAATGTGGACCTAGATTCTATAAAAAAAAAACACGTATAATGTATCATAAAACAAATAAATATGTAACTTCATGAGAACTTCTTTTAAATCGTAACAAACCATATAATTGATATTGATATTATTATTGAATTATTATTGATATTGATATTCTTACTCTAATTGTTTGACATCTTTTCTGCAAAAAGTGAGCCTATTGGTGTTTAATAATTCATCAAAGCATAACTTTTGGTCATTGTGCCCGCAAAACCTGAGAATATATCATTTTTCCCTACCAAAGGCTAGATGATGATAGACGTAATATTTATGTTTATATTTAGAACGAAATAAGCGTCATCGATTCAGAACGTTATTTTCCTGAAAGCTAGCACTAACTAGCCACTTGTAAAGCAAAGGATGAAGGTAATATCCCTTATTGTAAAGATTTTGAACATATAGTACATATTTGAACATACTAAAATAAGTATTCCCCGCCTACACCCAGTGAGTGCAGTTTCTATAGTTGCACAATAGAAAGGTGTTTTATAGTTTAAATCTCGTTAGTATACCAGCCTCAACAGAATTATAATATTTGACACAAGTATAATTAATGCAAGGTATAGTTCATCACCGATAAAATGTCGTCATGGACCTTTAATTGGTCGTTGGACGGCTCTATATTTCCCTAAATATGTTTATCTTGGCTAAACGTATTAAAACCGGATCTCCTATTGTACGTATCCCCATTACTCAACTTATATTGTGTTAGTTTTTTAAGTCTTGATAATTGGTTGAATGATCGATGGATCATAACGTATGAAAATGTATTGATCACTGTTGAACATCACCCTAACTAAAAAAACTTAAGCTCGACAGTAGACTTACAATTTTCGCCTTTTCGGGACATTCAACATCTTCAAGCTCTTTACGGTCTATTAGAGCATAGATTTTTTTCTTATTTATAGCATACGTTCTTTTCTTACATTTCAACTGTCCTTTGTTATGCATAGTGTACGTTATGGTTGCTTCGGTGTTTGTCACTATTATTTCAGGACAGTATGTTCTGATTTTATTACACGCAGCATTTTTGAAATCATGCAAGATGATAGAATCCAGCCATACTCCATGATTCCTGTAGATATCAGCTTTTACCATGCCTTTGTATTGTCCACACACTATGCGAATATCCCCCTCTATACCACCATAGTCGTCGCTATGATACTCTGCCTCTTTGGCGTTCTGCACCTCCGAAGTGAATACGATTTGTGTTCCTGTTCCTTTCTCTAGCCACCAGTCTCGTAAAACTGGAATAAAATGTGGATGTGAAAACAACATATAACACAATCACGGAAATTCTACAGCCTATAGTTATTTGTGTGTTATTTGACTAGTGAGAAAAGTGAGCAATTGTACTTTGAACTCGAGTTGCACATTATACTTTTCCTACAGTTACCATAAAACAAATAAATTGGTGAAGAAACATAACCTATTTTTACACAGAAGTAAACTTTTAATATAACATTTAATGTGAAGTGACAAATACAACAGTACAACAGCTGACCAGCTGATTTACAGCCAGTGCTGCCAATGTATTTCACGCGCATACGACGTTGCCTGCTTAAACGCGCTCACTATTTCATGCCTTCACGTTGCAAATCTGGAGTGAGACAAAGTAATTAGAGTGAGACAATCTTAACATTGTCTCACTGATGAGCGAATTGGCCACTTAAAAAAAAAATGCTTTCTAAAATCAGTGAGAGAACATGTACATTGTAAGGTAACTGTAGGAAAAGAATAATTTCTATTCGTTTTATTTATTTCTTATTCAAAATGTTCGAAAAAACACGGACATTTATAAGTAAATATTTATTTTTCATCGTGGATGGAGAAAATTGATGAATTGATAAAAATTATTATTATATGAAAATATAAAATAATTTCTTAAGTCACGTGTGATATTTGGCCCCCCTCTTGTGAGTTGGTACAAATCTCACAGGACAGAGAATGCAGTGAGAGGTCGAGACTCAAGGTAATATGGTGATAAGCGTGGTTTAAATCATACACAAAAAATTACTTGGCCCTTTGAAGCTAATCGAACGCTGAAATAAAATAAGGAGAAGCACAGAGTCCATTTCAATTTTTTGATAGCCAAGAAAAAAAACCAGACTAGCCATTCGGCTTGGAAATGCTGGACTCGAGTAGCTTGAGCATGAAAGATCGATTGCCCCATTTTCAGCAGTTCACCAATCAATTCTTGCGGAATTTCCATCTTGGGTAAAGCTAATTTTGTACGGATGTAATATGAAAGATAGGTACTTTGTTTTTATTTGTATTGTTTTTATAACCATATAAAAAAGGATTGTGATAATTTCAAACTGAACTTTTACGCTAGGTGCTAATCCAGGGTTTCTAATAGATTAGGTCCAAGATGGAAGAGCTTCCTGAAGGACAAGGTCCCCGAAGGAAGAGGTTTCTGATGGAAAGAACCACCAAACTATGATCATGGGTCCCCGGCGCAAAGAAACGTCAAGGGAGTTGTACCGTATCTATGGTTCTACTCCCTCCACATCAACTACCATACTGCAATGCACAGATGCTCGTCGAAGCCAATGCCTAGTCTGCCCAGCACCAACCACCACAACTTCCAAAGTTCTTTTGAATGAAAAAGAATTCTTTTTATCAAAGATAAATGATTTTTTCCGTTGACTCTTGTACCTAGTACTAAGATCTTAGTTTTTTTATGATTATTGTATTGACACTATTCGTGTATATTGTGTACAAAATGAATAACGACATATTGATGTTCTTTGGCCCAACTTATTATTTCCAACTGTTTAACAAAAACATTTCTTTTTGATTATATAAAAAGTATTTTCTGCCCAATGATAATCACTTCTTGGACATTAAAATGGTCTAAAAGTTACCTGATTTCGTCTGTAGTTGTAATTATTTTGGTTCCATAACAAACACCCTGTGTATAATGTGGGAATAAAATGAGTTTTGTAACTATAAAATAAAAATACAGTAGTCCCTAAAATCTAGTTATACTATTATTAAGCAAATACTAAACGAATAATTTTGTTGAAAGTGGATGAACAAAATTTTAATTTTATTGAATATTTTTCTAGTAAATTAACCGATACAATTTTTATAACCATAGGCAAGTTAAAAATTTTCTGAATTACAATATAAATAATATCTTACCTAGACCATCGTTTCCAGCATCACATTCCCAATACAATACCTAAAACATAAGTATAATGGTCCATTTTATATTTATTTTATGGGCTTACAATCTAAATGTTTTTATTAATTACTAAAACATGTTCTAACACATTAATTGTAGAAGTACCCTGGTTAATTTGAAACAGAACAAACAATAATATAGGCTAAAATTTGTTTTAAGGCCTTTAACAGTTTAATAATGATATATCTGTGAACGGAAACAATTCAACATAGGTACTGCGTGGCATCCGTCACAAATATTTGCACACAAATACACCAACATATTATGCCTAAAATATTCTGTAAATCTGGATAGAATATACAGAAGTTAGTTCTCCGTACTTCACCAAATGCCTGTGCTAGATAGGTCATGCTATTATTTGTGATAAATAATTCACACATATAAAGAACAGTTCATACAGTCTTTTATACGAGTATTGATTCTGTAAACTTTATTCTGTTTAAGCAAATTTCCCTATAGAGAAGTTATTACCGTAGGTGGCACGTTAAGACCATTTACATTTTGATGTCCTTAGAGGTCAAAAACACTACTGAATTCGTTAAAATGTGTATTGAGAGGAGCGTAGCGAAGCTCTTTGAGATTGGCTTCAATGCAAACTTTTTAACATGATCACTTAAAAACGGCTGAACATAGTTCAACCAAACTTACGAAGGTTGTATTGACAAATGTTTGGAAGGCTTAAGATGAAAAAAATAATTTTTTGATAATACCTGTATAATTTGTAACTAACTTTAAGTTTCTAAATTTTAACTTTGGACTTATGGGTTGCCATGAAGCTTACAAAATAAATACGTTTATGTAAACAAAGAATCATACTATGTGTTTAAATTAATTAAGGCTAATATACGACCTAAACACAGTATAAAGGGAAAAAATTCGGATGATGACCACTGATCAAATAATACATAGAAAGGATTATACGCCATTTGAAAACTACCACTGATCGAATAGGTACAGTATTTTACAGATTTTATTTGTGTAATATTAATTAGGTTATAACAAATTATATTTATCTTAAGTGATTGGGGATTAAAACAACTATATAAATCAGCAGTTTTTAATAACTGGGTATTCTAAAATCAATATGTTAATGTTAGTAGACTGAACATGTGGTTTTATTATATACTTTAAACAGTGCAAGTAAACTTCTTATCCTATTGTGAAATTTAAACCAATATAATGGGTGTTTCATGTGGAAACGTTTGAGTGTACCAATGTCAACTAATTATGACCATATGTGTTTAATAGCAAAAATATACGATGTAAATTATATACAAGTATTGATCTTATGTAAATGGTAGTTAAAACAAAGAATTTTAATAAGCTGGTTTGAACTTATAAAGCTTATTGTTAAATTTATGTTTGTGTAAGTTGGCTATTATCAACAAAATACGCGGTTTACCACTGAGTTTGAACTACGCATTCTATACTCCCCAAACCATTGTAAAATTTGAAATCTTTTTTAATGATCGTATCGTTTTGGTAACACACATGATCGTCATGTTGTATTGATCAGCATGTTGGCAACTACTTGCGGTATACAATTACCCAAGTAAGTAAGCCTAAAGTAGTTTTTTACGTTTTTGTTTTACAAGAAATGACCTAATTCGCTTAACAGTGTCATACTAAGGACAGTTTCAGAATGCATTCTCAAAATTGCCCGTTTGTAGAAAATGAAGACGAGCTATAAATGGCTAAAACGCACGAACAACTAATGAGTTCTTAAAATGAGTTAATAATGAGTTAAAATGAGTTGTTAGAATGGCAATGTTTTGAGATAATTGAATATATAACACTTCTTTGAAAACAATGTTCTTGACATGTAAATAGTACAAAGTAAAAAACAGACTTTATACGGTTTTATATCATATGTATGAAAACTATTTTTGCAATTCTCTCTGGGTAAGTCTTAGAAAAAAATAAATCTGCTATATTTAAAATAAAATAAAATATGGAATTATTTCTGCCTATATTGCCAAATCTGGCCAAGATTGAGAAAATGTCGATTGGTCGGGTTCAACTAAAACTGTGGGTTCACCTAATGACAATATCAAGCAAACATAGAAAAATACCAATACAAAGGATGTATCTACACATGTCTACATTTTACTTATGGAACTTATTATAGATGTTGATAGTTCTAAGCGAAATTGATAAGTTAAATTGATGAAACAGTTGTACTTTATCTATAATCGTTGTTTTAATTTATATCTTTATTAAAAACTATAAAACGTGAGTGCTCAACTGGCTTTTACCGCAATGAAATCAATCCTAGTATATGTATACGTCTGTGAACACGATAACTTGAGTAGTTTTTATCCGATTTTAATGCAATTTGGCTTGAAGGTGTAGGGTGGGATAAACATGAACGAGTTCACGAACCAGCATTATTGTTCGTTAAAACTATTAGAACGGGGTTTCATGGGGTAAAAATTAGTTAATTTCCCAATTTCTCTATAAATATTTTTAAAAACTAAAAAAAAAAAACTAATAATATAGTGTTACTTTTACGGTTAGAAATTACAGAGGAAATAACAAATATTGTAAATTTAAAATTTCCATATTATTCTTATTGAGAATAAGTAAACTATTGTATTTAGCTTGTTTAAGAATATATTTTTATCAAACTTGGCAAATTTATTTACTGTATTTTATACTAAGCTATTAATATTTTACACACTTAATTACCCTCCGTGTAGCAGCAAACCTATATTGAACATCAGTTAAGCCTTATGTAATTTAAAATATATCTAATTGAAAATCCAATCCAATTAAAATTCTCTTAGTCTGCAGGTTTGCTGCGGAGGGGGTATTTTAATATATATTGTTTCACGTATTAGTTTAGTACAGTATACACAAGGTACAGTATACACACATTAAACACTAAATAAAATAACCTTATTTCATTCAAATTTACAATTAAATTTTTTTTTATTTGAAATAAATTACATGCAAATTTTATAACACCTAAAACGTTAGTGTAATTCACAGTCTAAATGATGTTCACTATGACATTTTAAATTGTAAGTGAAATTACAAGAGTTACAAATACACTAAAACATTGAAAATAATAAATCAATCATTCATATGCTATAGATACGTATACAATCATATATTTCAATCCCAGTGAAGCTAATGAATTAATGTATTTCAAAAAAATAAAACTAACTCACCAGAAAATAAATAGATACTAGCAAAAGATTCTTCATGTTTTCATATGACTGGATTCTATCGAATCCAGAAGCTAACTGATCATAACGAAGTCGATCTTAACAATTATCAAACACACCTGGTTATTAAATTATCAGCCATGTTAGTTACGTACTGTGCAAGTGGTGGGGAGTACCATCTGAAACTACAGTCCTATTTTTAAATTTAAAAATTGTATGTTCTCAATTTAGTAATAATAGTGGTCAAACATATTTAACTCCGTTAAGAAGTGCTTGAAAATTAACATTAATGTAAATTGTTTAATTAACTAAAATTCATGCAACTACGTCTTTATTTTTTTTAGGGTATGTTTTATAAGTTACAGTTTCAAATAGGCGAATCAATTGTTCATAAAACTAAGTTATCAACATATTACCACCGTTAACTCCCTTAATATTTTTTTGGGATAAAATCGTTAACATATTTGATGAGCAGCATGTATCCCAATGCTGAATACAGTGTTTTAGCATACATTTGTTCAATATTATCACAACGTTTTTTCGTACTATATTTGTAATGTACCCGTATGGATGGCTTGCACATACTGTATCACAATTCCTTTATTATATTTTTGTTATTATTCCGTAAACAGAATGGCAACCTGTAAAGACAATGCAATTTTTAAATTATAATAATATGAAATATACGAGTAGATGTTTTTTCACCCTAACCTCTAGGCCCAGCCTAAAGTAATGTATCAATTATTTAAGATGAGGACCCCACTATGTGCGCATTTTAATATATGAGTGAAGGATGAGTGTTGTAGGATGAGTGGCGTGATCTCATTGCCTTGTTAGTGACTACATGTTCCTTAGACACAGCTGTTAATTAATAGCCCATACAGCTAATGGTAACTATGGGACCTTCAGTTGATAGTGAAATCCGACCCAAATTTTTTTCTTGTAATTAACAAATTGGTATAATTTTCAGGATAGTACTGCGCCACTGCGGATAGTTGTAGTACTTACTAGTTCGAACGTTAATCCACACCAGGGAGCATCGCATTCACAGTGCATGCCTATAAATATCCACCATTCGTGACCTCCTAGTAGCTTGATTTCGGTACGACGCCACCCGTCCCAGTCAAGATATAAAGCAATCCGGAGCTAGAGCCTAGTTCTCTAGGAAAAGAAAACCGTTGAGTCGTATTTATGAATAGACCTGCAGCTGTGTTTTTCCAAGATCAACGAAAGCTTAAAAGGTTTATATCTAAAAAAAATTTATATTTATAAAAGCGTTAAATTACTTTTGAGGTTCTAGTGGACTTAAGGTTCCAGCTTGCCATATTTATATTGGTTTTTACTTCTCTGTGTAAAATTCCTGAAGTATCTAAGATCAGGGTAAAAAATTAAACATCTTAGCTTAAAAAAAATGTTATGTAAATTTTAAGTAACTAAGGGTTACATTAACTATTTATAGAAGATAGCTTATTTTGATATGAAATAGCAATTGTATAACGTTAATAGGATTACAAAAACAAATTGCAAAGAGGTATATTTCAAAACAACGATTAAAAAAAATATTGGCTGATTCGGAGTCCTATTTTCAAATATTCATTGTTTCCTAAACGCACATCTAGCAGACAAAAAATTCCAGAATATAAAATAGTCTTAAATACAGACCTAAAAAAAAGATAAATCATTTTCTCGTATTTAATCTCAGATTGTTAACATTACTATCTTACCTTTACTTGCCACACATCACACAGCCACGGCTGACACACTGCTGGATATCATAGCTGTTAGTGACCCATCCTTTATTGCCCACCACGGTCAATTTTCTGCCCCTGGACTTTCTAAACATGACCTGATTTTCTGTGTATATAAATTAAAAAAGCCCAAATTCTGCCCAAATTTGATTAAATACAGAGACTATCGTAATCTTAACCTCAATGCTCTGCTTTTAGATGCTTCTACTCTACCGTGGGATGTGTGGTTACTGATGATCCTGATGTCAATTCAATGGTCGAGCATTTTACTTTCCTCATTTCTAATCTTCTCAATAAACACTGTCCAATAGTATCTAAAAGAGTTTCTAAGCCACCTGCTCCCTGGATAAATGATTTTATTCGACAACTTAAAAAAAATAGAGATGCTGCATTTCGTAAATCCAAGCGCACCAAACTCCCTGATGAGTGGGCCTGTTATAAAAGACTCAGGAATCAAACCCAACAACAGATTAGAAACTCTAAAGCCAGGGTATCAATTCGTTTGGTAGATTTATTATACATCTTTGTCCCAGAAACAATCCTCCAAAACTTTGTGGACCAAAGTTAAGAACCTAGGTATCGGCAAGTCTAAAAATTCACATCAAATATCTATCAGTCTCGACACTATTAACAACTTTTTTGTGAATATTCCTATAAGTTCTGCAGGTGCCTTTAACCATGTTGCCAATATCACATCTAGACCACTTGACATGCCAGAAAATCAGTTTTTCTTTTCCCCAGTTAGTGAATTTGATGTTCGTAGGGCAATCCTAGGGATGACAAGTAGCGCAGTCGGCGCTGATGATATTCCTATTAGGTTTATTAAAGACACTCTACCAGTTACTCTCCCGGTACTAACATTCATATTTAATAGATCATTAGCAACCTCTACCTTCCCCTCCATCTGGAAATCAGTCATTGTTCGCCCACTTCAGAAAATTTCATCTCCCAATACCCCTTCTGATTATAGACCAATCAGCATTCTTCCTGCCCTTTCAAAATGCCTTGAAAGAATAGTGCATAATAAATTCTCAGTTTTTTTGGAAGAGAACAAAGTCTTATCGGATTTTCAATCTGGGTTTCGCGCGAAATATAGCACTACCACTGCTTTGTTGAAAATTACTGATGACATCCGCCGTGCAATGGATAACAGACAGGCCACTATTTTAACCCTCTTTGATTTTTCAAAGGCGTTCGACTGCGTATACCATCCTCTTTTACTCCTGAAACTGCGCTTTGCTGGTTTCTCTGACAACTGTGTTGACTGGATTGAGTCCTATTTATCTGATCGTCAGCAGTGTGTCAAAGCTGGTGACAAATGTTCTACTTGGGAGCAGATTACTAGAGGTGTTCCTCAAGGATCTGTACTTGGCCCACTACTGTTCTCAATTTACATCAATGACATCACAGAACATATCACTAACTCACACTACCATCTGTATGCTGACGACTTATAGATTTACTCTCACTTTAATGTAGACGAGATGGATACTGCTGTGCGGCTCATGAACATTGACATTGAATCAATAACTCACTGGGCCACAAACAACGGACTTAAACTCAACATTGACAAAACTCAAGCAATGATTGTTGGCTACCCCAGATAAATGACTAAAATAAACTTACTCACTGCACCACGACTTAGCTTTGACGGAAAAGACCTTTCCTACTGCGACAAAGTGAGAAACTTAGGACTCATAATGAACAAACAATTGAATTGGTCTGACCAAGCAAATTCCATTTGTAACAGGGTTTTTGGGGCTATTCAAACCATCAAACGTTTCGCAGAATACCTTCCACTGAACTTGAAAATCATGTTAGTAAAAACTCCCATCTTGACTCATTTCAACTACTGTGATGTGGTGATCAGCGCGCGTACAGATTGGCCAATGGTTCGAGGGTCTTTTCTAACATACAGATTGACCAAAGGTCCTAATGAGCAGGGGCAAAAAATGGGGGAGGAGCTTACTGCAGTGATGTGCGTGGAGGAGGAGCTATTCTATTCAAGTAAACTGTTTGTTAACGTTTTATAATCTTACTAGATACAGAGGTGATCTCTGTAATGCTCTTGAATATCGTAGAACCAACTTGTGTAGTTGAAACAGCTGACAAGATCTTTTAATTCATTTTAAATATGAATACTCATAAGGTAAACATGGGAAACTATGGAGCCGTTGGGGCAGAGCCCGAAATGATTTTTGGGATAAAAATATGTCTAGATATGTTAATTGGGAATGTGAGCTATATTCATACCAAATTTCAACCCGATCCGACCAGTAGTTAATGCGTGATTGGATATCAAACAAACAAACAAACTCACAAAATTTAACAATAATAGTACTACGATATATTGTAGTTGATAAGGGTGAAAACATGATGTCTCATTATTTCTCTATTATTTTCATTGCATGCGCGATCTCTTCAAGCCAACTTAGAAAGATTAATAATACTAATGACACATATTATGAAAACACAAAATCTAACGTAAACCATTTTCTTCTTTACATTTTATACAAAATAATACAACATTTTCTTGATAAACATCACCGACTTACAGATACCCCCATTTAATTTTACTATGGATGTAAACAAATTTGTACAATGGACATATGTTTTGATGTAAACAAAATTGCATTGTAAACTTGAAAACGTTCATATGATTGACAACAGAATTCAGCACAAACTATGCAATTTTAAAAGCTAATATGACGAGGTTATATGCTTTCACGGGATATCATCCAAACAGAATAATACCTCCAATTTAGAGTTATTATTTTCTTTTAGCGGCAACTAAAAATGTAGCTGACTGAATATTAATAACAAATTATTATTTATTTCAGGGTTTTAAGGCAAAACGTTAAGAATTATTTGAAGTTTAGAATTTTAACTTTTGGTTTAGGTGAATGTTGAATAAGTGAGTAGATTTTTATACTCTGTGGTAGGACATTTTATTCGGGTAATTTCACTTCCAATGGAATATCGTTTTCCTTTTTTTAACTTTTGTTAAAATACAACTCCTATAATGAATATTGCTAGATTGGTTTTGTGAACTTAAAAATGAACATCGTGTGCGAAATACTAAGACAGGTATTCGAGGTAATTTTCAAACAATGTGTATACACATAAAAACGATAATGCTTATGCTTTGAATCTTGAAAGAACACTTCAGGACTTATAAATGGTAACATTATCCTTATTGCTTTAACTAGGTCAAACAAACTAACAATTTCGTAACCAACTCGACCTCCCAAAAAATGTACTTTGTGTACATGACAAGAAATTGATAGTGAGTTTATAAGCAGTTAGTTAGAGTTTATAGCCTATTATTTGTATCAGAATACCGCACTGTTTTGTTTAAGCTACAGTT